CTATTATGAATATAGCTTCTTTCAAATAGGAATTTTGATAAAGACTGCGAAACGAACTCTGCAAACTCGAGATGTTCGTCATGTACTGATTTCATCTGTGGAATAAAGAAGACAATTGGGATTTAAAACATCATGGAAATGTCTTCAGTTTACTGTCATAATTCTGTAAACTTATGAACATACAGCAGCATTCCTTTGCAATATTGTTCATTTAGATTCCTGTGCCCTTTTTGCCTTTTTGTATCACAAAGAGCTGTCACCATGGCACCCGCCCCTCCAGCAAAGAAAACAGAGCAGACAGTCGGTACTGACCATGCCAGTACTGCCTTTCTTCAGAAATCTGGATCACATGCATCCTGGGGCTGAGAAGCAGATTTTTCCAGCCTTCCACAAGTGCTCCCTGAGAATGCTCAAAAGGTGAGGCAGGGGGTGGGGGATCTGTCTGGACAAAACCCCGACTGCAACATGGGAGACTGCAGTGAGGAGGAGGAAGGGACAGAATTACACATCATGACAACACGCTGCTGGCACAAGAGGAATGATGTTGTCCACCTTCACAGCTCCTCTAGTGCCTTTCTGATACTCACAGGGAACTGGTGAAACAAGGGAAAGATCCCAACAGCTCCTCCCACAGGTGGTACAAAAAGCTTCTCTGTACCTTTTGTTTCTCCTTCTAATAGTATCCAAACCCATGCCTCAATTTTTGGGAAGGAAGGAAGGAGAAGGTGCAGACTTTTTTCTCATCAGGGAAAGGAGGAACGATATTCTCTGGGTCCAACAACATATGGTTTTGAAAAGGGATTCTTGATGCAAGGCCCTACACAAATGGGCAGGGCACCATTTTCTATGTGGCTTGGACCAGTTTTGCACATGGAAAGGGATCTTGTGGCTCAAAGGAAAGAGAAAGTGGGAAAGAAAAAAAGATCTTGCATATGTCTTGTCATCAACTCAATGAGGTGGTCAGAAAAAGGACATCTGAGGCTCTGGAACCCAAATAGATGGCGGGGATACAAGGGAGGAGAAATTAATTTCCGCATATTATTCCACAGCCACGTCTGTCTGCTGACTATTCAAATTTAGTAAATATTCAAAGAATTACAGGACTTCAGAAGAAGGCAATATCAGCCTCCTCTCTTTAGGTAACTTTCCACACATGCAGCTCCATAGGGCAGAAGGAGATATTTTCTAAGATTAAAAAGTAAAACATAAATCAGCCAGGACTTCTAATTACTTCTTTAGACTACTTATACCCTGCCTATTTACAAATAAATACTAAAGACAGCTTACAATATTAAAACCATATGAAATAGTAAAGGACCTTGCAGCACACTGGCAGCCAACACAGTTGTACTTGCAACTGCCAACCCCTGTAAACACTCTGCCTGCTCTTATCCAGCTAAGCTACCTTCAAAATCAGCTCCATGTAGAGACCTGAATATTTAAGCCTTACCCTAAGGGCACCATATGGGAGGCCCATTGATTTCAGCTATTTAAGTTTCCCAGTCTGCTCCACTGTTCTATGGTATCAGACATCTGTGACAAATACAGTGCATATTTCATGAAGTTACAGCAGCACAGGCAAAACACACTCAAAATGTTACTGATTTTGTGTAAAAAGCATTATGGTCTGCAGATCATAATTCTCCATAACCTATCCAGATTTAGTTAACACTCTAATTCTTGTCGTCAACAACACCAGCTCCACAATAGGAAGATCCACAATAGGAAGATCCTATAGTGAAAAGATCCTCTTTTCAGTGTTACCAGACAGCAATAATTACCTTTTGGAGGTTGGGAGAAGAGTCTTCTGTAAGCAGCAATCACATTTACAAGGATATTATTTCGGTTTGTAGGAACCTGGGAAGCAACTTGGTCATGAAGCTGAAAAATTAAGAATAATCTCATTAAGACTAATGAACCTGCCTGGTACCCTTAGATATATACTATCCTAAAGTTCAACGTTAACATTAGCATTTGTAATCACATATACACCAAATAAACATAAACAATTTCACATATGCATGGACTGGTATCGGTAATCTCCATTTCGTTGTATCTGAATAAGTGTGCATGCACACGAAAGCTTACACCTTGAAAAAAACTTTGTTGGTCTTAAAAGTGCCACTGGACTCAACCTTTCTTTAATATCACCTATAGTTTGGGAAACATTAAGACTTATATAGAACCCTGACCATGAAACACCTCATGGAATGGAACAGACAAATAAACTGGATTTCATTATTACTCATTATTCACAAGATATTTTTGGACCAATCAAACTCTGTGGGGAAGCAGCTAGTAAAGCTTACAGCTCACGACTGCACTATGGGGCTCTGGCACAAGGCAATGTAACTGCAAGGCCCAGTCTTGCACAGTGAAAGACTAGCTATTTAATGAAATTCATCTGACTGTAGCCCTGCCCTCACACCAAAATGATGCAAGAACCCATTTTACAGCACCTGCTGTATTTATTTATTTAGCACATTTACATATCACCCTTTCACCATGGAGCTCAGTGCAGCATACTCAGTCCTTCTGTTTTTTTCCTTACAACAATCCTATGAGATAGGTTAGGCTGAGAGAGAGTGTGACTGGCTCAAGGTCATCCAATGGGCCTCAGGAAACCCACGCCCCCCGTCTGCTGACTATTCAAATTTAGTAAATATTCAAAGAATTACAGGACTTCAGAAGAAGGCAATATCAGCCTCCTCTCTTTAGGTAACTTTCCACACATGCAGCTCCATAGGGCAGAAGGAGATATTTTCTAAGATTAAAAAGTAAAACATAAATCAGCCAGGACTTCTAATTACTTCTTTAGACTACTTATACCCTGCCTATTTACAAATAAATACTAAAGACAGCTTACAATATTAAAACCATATGAAATAGTAAAGGACCTTGCAGCACACTGGCAGCCAACACAGTTGTACTTGCAACTGCCAACCCCTGTAAACACTCTGTCTGCTCTTATCCAGCTAAGCTACCTTCAAAATCAGCTCCATGTAGAGACCTGAATATTTAAGCCTTACCCTAAGGGCACCATATGGGAGGCCCATTGATTTCAGCTATTTAAGTTTCCCAGTCTGCTCCACTGTTCTATGGTATCAGACATCTGTGACAAATACAGTGCATATTTCATGAAGTTACAGCAGCACAGGCAAAACACACTCAAAATGTTACTGATTTTGTGTAAAAAGCATTATGGTCTGCAGATCATAATTCTCCATAACCTATCCAGATTTAGTTAACACTCTAATTCTTGTCGTCAACAACACCAGCTCCACAATAGGAAGATCCACAATAGGAAGATCCTATAGTGAAAAGATCCTCTTTTCAGTGTTACCAGACAGCAATAATTACCTTTTGGAGGTTGGGAGAAGAGTCTTCTGTAAGCAGCAATCACATTTACAAGGATATTATTTCGGTTTGTAGGAACCTGGGAAGCAACTTGGTCATGAAGCTGAAAAATTAAGAATAATCTCATTAAGACTAATGAACCTGCCTGGTACCCTTAGATATATACTATCCTAAAGTTCAACGTTAACATTAGCATTTGTAATCACATATACACCAAATAAACATAAACAATTTCACATATGCATGGACTGGTATCGGTAATCTCCATTTCGTTGTATCTGAATAAGTGTGCATGCACACGAAAGCTTACACCTTGAAAAAAACTTTGTTGGTCTTAAAAGTGCCACTGGACTCAACCTTTCTTTAATATCACCTATAGTTTGGGAAACATTAAGACTTATATAGAACCCTGACCATGAAACACCTCATGGAATGGAACAGACAAATAAACTGGATTTCATTATTACTCATTATTCACAAGATATTTTTGGACCAATCAAACTCTGTGGGGAAGCAGCTAGTAAAGCTTACAGCTCACGACTGCACTATGGGGCTCTGGCACAAGGCACTGTAACTGCAAGGCTCAGTCTTGCACAGTGAAAGACTAGCTATTTAATGAAATTCATCTGACTGTAGCCCTGCCCTCACACCAATATGATGCAAGAACCCATTTTACAGCACCTGCTGTATTTATTTATTTAGCACATTTACATATCACCCTTTCACCATGGAGCTCAGTGCAGCATACTCAGTCCTTCTGTTTTTTTCCTTACAACAATCCTATGAGATAGGTTAGGCTGAGAGAGAGTGTGACTGGCCCAAGGTCATCCAATGGGCCTCAGGAAACCCACGCCCCCCAGATCCTAGCCTTCCATTCTAACCAGTACACCATATTGTACCATCATTCAACCTTCTGAGGAATGAACAATTCTCTCCCAGCTACAACATACTCATGACATGCAACGCCAACTCAGAATGTCATAATGGTTAAGGCACAACTAAAGATGGCTTTTGTAATTTTAAGTATACACTCTTGCTTAAGAACATGCGGTGTCTTGCAAAGTCAGATGACAGCCCATCGAGTACAGCCTCCTTTGCAAGAATCTCATCTAACCAGACATCTAGTGGTAGGCCCTGCACAGTAGGCTTGGGATTACAGTGTGCAGTTTCCAAAAAGATACAGGATAAAGAGATGCCGCTTTCCTCTCCTTAGTTTGATAAACAGCAACTTAGTATCAGCTAACCTGCCATACCAACCCCTTCGCTCACTTCAGTTTCCCGTTTGTTTACACACTACAGGAGCCAATCAGGAGCTGAAAGAGAACCTACATACCAAGTAGGAACCAGGAAGAGCCTGGACGAAATGTCCCCTCTTCCTTCCGTTTACCCGGTGGCCTCAGCCCAGCCCCTCTCTCTCAGACTCACCATCCGTAAAACGGAAACGGCAGCAGGCCTTCACCTTACCGGGGCTATTGCAAAGGTTACAGCAAGGCAGCGTATGCGAGCTGCTCTGAGCACTGGAAAGCAAACAGCAAGCATTTATCAGCGTCCTCTTCCTGGGATCCGTGCTTTCAACCTCTGGCGGGGAAATTAGCCCAAACCACAGAGGCCTTTCTCGAGCAGCTCGCTGTGCGCTCGGGCGGGCCGTTAAGCCCTTCCCATGACCCGGGGCGGGAGCTGGCACCCCCCCCCCCCGGCCCGGTCCTCGCCGGGATACGGCACTCACCAGCCTCGGGCAGGGCGAAGGCGCCGTCAAGCTCCGGCTCCAAAGTAACTGTTGCTGCTGCTGAGCTCCGGGAAGGCCGCCGGGGGGGAGGCGGCGGCGGCGGCACCCCCGCGACAGCCACAGGTAGCGATGGGCCATGGCCAAGCCAACGGGACCCCTGCGCCTCGCCCAGCCTCCCCCGCGCACACATGCAGCCACACTAGGCCCCGCCTTCGGCGTCGCGTGTGACGTCGCCCCGTAACCCCACGCGGTCCACGTGCCCCCGGCTTCCTTTTCCTTTATTGGCTGTAAATAGGCTGTTGTCCCGCCTCCCTTACTTAAAAATGAGAGTTGTTCAATTCGAGGTTTCGACTGGTTCTTCAACAAGGCGGCGACAATTTCTTCATCATGCAGTTAAAATTTAAAAATGAAAAATAAAACGACGACTTGCCCGGAGAGCGATACATACAGCTGCAGCCTATGCCCAGCCCTTGTGCGCTAGTTGCAAGCCGCCCCGAGGGACTTAAGTGCCCGCGATCGGAGGGGGTTTATATGGGACGTACTAAAACGAAGGACAGCGATTGCGCATAGGGAATACATGAGTACCCATAGAGAATAATGGAGAGGAGGCTTGCCCAGAGGGGATAGTGCAGTACATAATTGCCGATAGCGAATCCATGACTGCCCATAGGGAATAATGGAGAACATAATTGCCAATAGAGAATCCATGACTGCCCAAAAGGAATAACGGAGAGGACTGAGAGTGTGACGCTCGGACATCACACGCGAGAGGTCATTCTGGCTCCCCCAGCTCTCGTTAAGGGCTCTTTAAACAGTTATGGCTGCCGTGGCGGTGGCAGCTGCAACGGCAGTGGGGGGGCGGGGGGCGGCACAAAACGTTCTCCCGGTTCCCGAGCCCCGGGGTGGTGGTCTTGGGCTCCTAGGGGCAAATTCCACCACTTGCGTGTGATGTCCGAAACGTTCCCCACCTCCTTGATCTATCCGAAGGAAATTGAAACATCTACCTGTAATGTATTCAGATGCTGCCA